ACACTTCGGTGCATGCCTCAACAGGCTTCACACCCTTTTTCCTCACCCATGGGAGGGAAGCGAACTTGCCGGCAGATGTGATATTCGGCCCAAACCCGCAGGCATCATCAACCGTCACCTCAATGGCCTACGCCCGGTCCTTGGCGTCCAGCCTCCGGACAGCCTTCAAACAAGTGCGGCAAAACACACGGCAGGCAAGCAACAAACAGAAGTTGGCCTACGACGTCGACGTCTCGCACAAGCCCTATCAGGCTGGCGAACGGGTATGGCTCCACGATCCCACTACCGTACGACAGAAGCTGAAGCCCAAATGGAAGGGGCCTTACACTGTCATAGAGCGGCTCCTCCAAGACGGTGAACCAGGCGTCACGTATCGGATCCAAGACACCAAGGGCCGAAAACAAATAGTCCATTACAATAGGCTAAAAAAATGCCATACCCTACCTCAGCAGGATCATGCTGTGAACTTGCGGGCCGCACCAGCGACGAATCAGCGTGACACCTCCAACCCGCCGTCACCAGCGGCGAATCAGCGTGACGCCTCCAACCCGCCGTCCCAGGGGACTGGTGTGACAACGAGAAGAGGTCGTCGGGTGCGACCACCGTCCCGATACGACGACTTTGTGGCTGTTAGGGACTGACACCGCCCTTCATCCAGCTCCACATGTATTCACCCCTTGATGGACAAGGGTCTTGCAGGACATATTGCTGCGTTGCGGAGATTCATGGGATTACCCGCAGACACATGACTGTGCAGGACATATTACTGCGTTGCGGACCCATGGGATTACCCGCAGACCAGTCCTTCTGCCGAACTTGACTATTAGTGGGCAGAACTGGACCAACCAGCCTGCAGAACTGAACAGTTCTATACAACTACATATATACCTAACGTTATATATTTTTCTTGTTGTTTCGTTATCCCATTATTGTTATTCGTCATTATATTCTGTAGTTAATTAGTCGTTCCAACGATGTTACATAGTTGATATATTCACCACGTTATGTATCGTTAACTTCAGGAGAAGTTAAGTTCTTCTACATAGGGGGGAAGCGTGTAAGGATACAATATACACCCCCACAAACTATTGGACCAGTCCGGTCAGAGGTCACGGACTGCACATGTTCTGACAAGAATACATTTCATATCCCAGCACTTCTCGCATCTTCATTCCCGGAGTGATTACTTATAAGTTCCAATTCCTTCACCAACTGGACACTTATAATATTGTACTTAATGTTCATGGCAGCAAAAGTTTGGAGTCTGAGATTAAAATGCTCGCGGTGGTTCACATTTGTGGTGGCAGCAAATTATGATAAGTTCGTAGCACAGATCAGAAGTGACTGACAGCAAAAGCCGTGAATATAAAAGCATGTATATATGATGGAAAAAATAGTAATTTACTGTACTTACTAGATTAGACTGTAAGTTGTAACATTTTACTCCTTGGCTTCTCCCCAGGCACTACCCTTTTGGTGTTCTTCGCCCTGACTGTGGTCGGGCAGGCGCTGACTCCCACCACCGTGCTGACCGGCGTGGACCAGGCGCGGCTCAAGGCCGTGTTCGAGAACGCCCGGCCCTTCACGGACCTCGCCAGCGCCCACTACTCCATCCTGGGCCTGAAGCTGCTGGGAGCCCAGATTCCCAACACACAGGTATGGAGTTCAAAGTCAAGGGTTGTTTTCACATTTTTTACCTTTCATTAGCTACTGTAGATAGAGTCAAGGGACTTTTGTTACTTGTTGATAACAGTAGCTAACACCGTTATTACTTGTCTATTGATAGATTCTAAGTTCTTTGTTTTCAGATTGGTTTTCACAGTTTTTGCCAATTGCTTATAAGTTAAGAGTCAGATCTGATAGCTTTTTTCATTGTTGATAACAATAGCTAACACCATTATTGCTTGCTTAACTTAATTTTCTAAGTTCTTTGTTTTCGGATTGCATGTATTGATGTATGTAGACGATTTCCCTCTCTGTAGTCATTGCATGGTCATTTGGATGGTATTGTCCCTAATAGTAATACAATGCAACTTTTATTTCATTAATTAAGTACATCATATACACAAAACAATCAAGGGCTATTCCAAGTAAAAGAGGGGAGAGGCTAGGTTTTCATTATGAACTTAGAGGGGTTAAGACTAAGATTGAAATAAGGAATGGAATAGCTGAAAGCACGGAAGATAATTGCTAATCTTGCAGTACTAAATGATGCTAGATGTGCCAGCTAATACTGAGCTGTTCCAAAGGTGTTTCAGCTATCATAACAAGTTAACAACAGCACCAATACTAAGTATAACACCAATTCATGCTAACAGAGACAGTACATGTAAAACCATCTCAAAGCAACAGTCAACAACTCTGCACCCAATTGTTTATAATTTAATAGCAGTGCACTCTCACCTGAACAACATAATAACCATAGGTAACTCACATGCTAACATATTACCTAACTTTGATATCAGTTTGAATCTCAAGCATCTATGAGAGCTTTGACTGAAATAATAAAACGTTTGAAAAGATTTTTCTTTCAAGTTTTCAAGACAACCTTGTATAGTTTTGTTAGCACTTTAGACATTTGTATGATTATGTATTATTTGGCTATGTACACATACATGCAATTACATGTCTGCAACTTGTAGACAATCATGTAATTGCATTCACATATGCATAGCCAAGGACTGCAACTGATATGCAATAAGGAAAAATTCATGACTATGATTATTTACAATGCTGGGTTATTTGGTGGCTGTTGTTCACAGATGGTGAGGGTAGAAGGAGAATGTTGTCAGTATGAAAGAGTGGAGGTAAAACACTTTGGAACAGCTCTGTACTAAACACCGCATGGAAAACTAACCGTTTCATGCTGTAACCAGCTTGCAAGTTCCATGCATGTAATCCTGAGTGTATCTTACAGGGTAAAAGTAATGGGTGCATGTGCACTTTGTGCATCCAAAATTGGAGCTATGCACCTAGATATTGATGTAGGTTATGTACAAAAAGTTGCTACATATATGCTCTTTGTAACCACCGACACAGATGAAATTTCATGATAGTACAGTACAACTGTAAATGCTCTCTGATTTTGGAATAAAGCTTTTCAGTTGATCTCCTACTAGTATACAAAAGTGAATAAAGAAATGTATACATAGGTTTTTTTCTTGCCCTACAGGATAACTGCAACTATGTAAAGTCAGCAGTGGACTACCAGAGCCCAGAGTCTCTGTACTATGCCTCTTCTGCCACTAAGGCTCTGGGCAACTGTCAGGTACCTAGAATTTAAACAGCAATGTACTGAGACTTCAGCTTGCTTTTAGATTGGATCTATTGCATTGCATTTTTGTATTGAATTTGAATATGTTTATAATTTATGGTGCACAATAGCAGCCATCTTCCTAGACTTATTTTCTGCTTTGTAGTTATATATCTTTTACAGATAATCTTACATTTTCTTCTTGACCACTAGTTGTCCAGCAGCAGTGCCCAGAACACACTCCAGGCTGCCATCAAGGATGGAGTGGACGTTCCCACCCTGTTCTTCGTGGTGTCTGCCCTCATCAACCTGGGGCTACCAGGTATGGGACTCTTAACTTTTTATTGCGATTTTTGTCTGGTGACTGCTGCAAAATTCATGGCACTGCAACTATGCCTCCAGTATATGAATCCTGTACAACAGAATTGTCTAACCTGCAGACTTAAAAACAACTGCACTGTGAGTGCATCTCCTGACATGTGCCTCCTGACTTTTCTATCTGCAGTGAACTCCAATGAGGTGGTCAATGCCTTGACTGAAGCGCTGAAAACTGATGACAGCATACTAAGGTATTGGAAACAATTATGGATTTCTGACATCTGCAATTATTAATGTATAAAATTCTGTACTCTTTGTGAACTGAAGTTTCTTGTAGTCAGATAGATATATTTTGCAATCCCAAAAATTTTAAACTGAATAGCAGGTATTAGTGATCAATAATTTGTTCTGACCTCCCACAGTGGAAGCATGGCCCTACACATTGCAGCTCAGCTGTCTAAAGATGCAGACGTCAAAGTTATATTTGAAAGTATAGAGGTAAGTTTGCAACCTTCTACAATGTTTCTTAAGAACCCAACTATGAAACATCCTGTCTTTAGTGGTGACCATTTTCATTACGTCTTTCGAGCAGTCACTATAGACTGTTGTTTTCCCTTAACAGGACCTTGTAGCACAAGCGGATGAGGTTGGCGAAAAATACCTCCAGTTTGAGGGTGATCTGGGACTAACGTCGTTTTTCGTGGTCGGAGCATACAGACTGGCCGGACATCAAAACAAAGCACCTCTGATCATGGAGGTAAGAAAACAACAAATGCAGAGCTCTATTTTCCAAAATGATGTGGTGTCAAATGGTCAATGATGTGGTGTCAAATGGTCAAGCAGCTAAGCTACTTGAAATGAAATTGAAGGGTTTGATCCTTGGTATTCCTTTCTAGACGTTGTGTCCTTGAGAGAGGCACTTTAAATAACTTTCCTCACTCCGTCTAGGTGTAAAATTGATGTAACTTTGGTTGGGGAGGTAAAAGGTGGTGGAAGGAGAGGGATGGGCTCTGCCTTCTAATACAGTGCCATAGACACAGTGGATTAACAACCCACTGCTTCTCCGGGCTCAAAAGTGCAACTATAAGATCACTCTCACATATCTATTGAAACAGACAAAATGTAGTAATACTTGTATGTTAACTTAATCATAATGTTTTCTTATAGGATCAGTCAGTGAAGTTTGCCAACTACCTTCTGAGTCGAAAACACGTGCAAAGTCCGAAGAACGCGTATGATGTAGTCGCAGGACTCTCAACCCTCGCCAACAACAAAGTGAGTTCAGCACGTTTATCCTTAAAACCATACATCAGTGGAGCAAAACACACTGGTAAATTCAAGTTATTGTGGCTGAATTCGATACTGTGGTCTAGCATGTTTTGTTTACTTGTTTTTGTTTGCATTGCAGTACCACATTCCAGTGTGCATCACTCGTCAAAGCTCCATGACTGTGTCCAGTGTTCAGTCCAAGGTTCAGGTATGTGCCTTTCAACCAGCATAGAAATGTTTCCTTCTAGGGGGAAACCCTGTGACCCAAGGCTGTAACAAAGGGAAAACTTCACATCACAAAATTTGACCCCCAAATGCAGACAAAATTGTGTCAGAGTCAGGGGGTTATGAATTTGATATTTTTGGGGGGGAGGATGCTAGACGTACTACTGTTGTTGGTCTTGCACCACTCAAAGTTTGCTTTCTCTACCTGACAACTTTGCTATAAAAATTCTGGTGTAAAATGCTGCTGTCATCTGAACTGCAGTGTGAATGGTGTTTTATGTGTGCAGGTTCGTGTCAGTAACGTGATGAGCGGTGCCCTGGGGAAACTGACGGTGAAGGCCGACTCTGCGGAGAGGAAGGAAGACGGCGCCGTCGTCTTGAGCAACTCCGCGCTCGCTGCAAACCCCAGGGACAAGTAAGTGGCTCTCAATCCTAGAGTTGAATGGCTGGACTCAGGGCTTAAATTACTGTAAATCACTTTATATGTAAAATGGATGTGTTTGCGGAACTGTATGTTTGCAGGAAGGTGCAGAAAGAAAGTAACGGTCAATTCGTGGTACAGAATTAACCGCAAAAACCGCAAATATAAAAGTACCGCAAAGATAAAGTGATTTAATGGTTCAGTTTTTGGTAAATATGCAAGAAATACCTTTGTTCACTTGCTCCTTGCTTGCTTTTACTATATTCTTGTCATTTTTTGAACTGGAACTTATATTGTCTGTTCACAGCACCCTGTATGAGCTGGACTTCCTGAAGACCAAGGCTGGACGTGGATTTTACACCATTGAGTTCAGCGTGACTGCTGACAAGCCTGATAGCAGGCTTATCGGGCTGTCTGGTGCTCAGGTAAGGTTTCTAAAAATATGTATGTTTACCTTCTCAGAAGGGAAACATATTGCTTTCTTGCTGTTTCTTCTTCCTATTCTTTTTCTTCTCCAAACAAATACGGGTAATGACCCGGGCCAAAAATCTGTCACCATGGTAACTTGTGCTGTAGCAGACATCCTGTGGACAGGCTGGTCCCCATATACATGTATGTAAAATTCATTCAATTTGTAAGAATAAACAGAGCAGTAGTTTGTTAGACTAGACCATGTGAAGGCAGTCTTGCGCTTGTCTTCATATGCAACATACTAAGTCGATACTGAAGATGTTATAAATGTGTATTCAGGAAGTTTCAGAGTTGGACTGTTCCATTTTTCAACAGGTGGAGGTGAAGGTGGTGACCACTGTCAGTGTGGAGGAAGTGGAGCTGGCCTTGGAGGATAAGGACCAGTCCACCCCTCCTAGAGTCACCAAGTAAGATCTTCTAGTTTCCTGAAATTCATCTTTGTATTCCTAACTAGAGACCTCAACCACTCTAGGACCAAAAATAAAATAAAAGTTAAGTTTTCAGTTTGCTAACAGCACCGCCTAACCCTTTTTTCTGGTATTGCAGGGTGCAGTACCCCCAGAAGACGGGGTCTAACCTGGCTGGTGACCACCACCAGAACCTTGTCATGAAGTTCCTACTGAAGGACAAGGCAGACAACTCAGCCATGGAGGCACACCAGGCCTTCGTGCGTCTGACCAACAAGAGGACAAAGCAAGAGGTCATCTTTGTAGCTGAGGCTGACGACGACCACCTCTACAAGTTTGAGCTGGTCAGTTCAAGTTTGTTAAGCACTCTCACTTGAGCTTCAAGCAGGGAAAAAAATTTGGGCTGAGAAAAAAGCAGTCATTATGGCCAGATGGCCGGCTTTTAGAGATGGTGGTCACTTGGACAAGTTTGACTGTAAATGTGTAATTGTGTTTTATTTTATGTTTATTTCCCAGGATATTGGTGCCAGTGCTAAGGAACATTTCAACTCCCTGAGTGGCCTGTATGCCATGGACTTGGTGGTCGGAGACGCTCTTATCCAGAACCCCTTCGCATGGAATGTGGTATGTCACTCATTTCTTGACCAAATGATTTCAGATATCAGAAAAATTCTATATGTATGATTCATTTTTAATAGTAGTGGTAGACTTTTTTAGTAGTACACATAGCTATCATCTGGCATTACAGTTTTTTTAGATATAGTAAAAAAAAGAGATAAGATAATGGCTTTTGCATTTCAGGGTCTGTATAATAGTATAGCATGGATTGTGCTAATTATTCTTCCTACCAACAGGCTGACCTGCAGTTGAAGTTCCCTGAAGACTCGGCAACCTCGGAAGAGAAGCCAAACCTGTATCAACCACGGGAAGAGATCCAGGTTAGTTAATATCAACCCAGTAATATCCTTATCCACATTACACAACATTTTAATTAATTTCAAGTGAAAGCCACAATGATTGTTGACAATGCTATGTTCCAAGCATAACTTATGCAGAAACTTTTATTTTGATGAGTGGCTTTCATGAAAAGAAACAGACTTGTCCTTAGCTGAAGTGTACAAGTTTTGATTGTAAACTCGTAGATGTACTACACTAGTTCAAACTATCTCTTGTTATTATGTTTACCTTGGCAGAAAGTTTCTTGCTCCCTTTCTTCTTCTTCCCTTCCCAACAAATAAGATTAACAACCTAGACTAGATGACTGTCACCATGGTAGCTGATGCTTTAGCAGACACCCTGTTGTGTTTGATTACATTATCTAGCAAGTTGGAAGGGCTGCTCACCATTATAGGTGCATGCATTTGAGTGAGCAGTAGTTTGTTGGGCTAGTGAAGGTAAACAATATGTATATAACCTGTCAAGTTGCACAATGTATTTCTCCTTGTGCCAGACTCTGACTAACCCTTGTGTGTTTTCTGCCCCCCTCCCCTCCAGCACATGTTCCGTGAGCCAGAGAAACGCCCACCTGCCACGGTGTCCACCACCTTCACCGCCCTGGTGCTGCTGCCTGTCCTCATCCTGCTGGGCCTGGTCAGTACAGGTTTCTAATAAATCAAGTAATCAACCAATCACTGGGCCCGGTTTTTGTTTGTGTGTCCCCTGTAGTTTCTGATTGCAAGGTTGGTATCCCCCAGTAGTTTCTATTTGTAGGTCTGGTAACACTAGGTAGTTTATGTTAATGAAACATTAGATACATATAATACATTTGTATGTCCTCCGTTGTTAGTGTATTTTAACACTGTGGCCATTTTTTTTCTTTCCACAGTGGATCAAACTCGGAGTCAACATCGCCAACTTCCCTCTTTCCCTGTCTGCTATCAGTTTCCACATCGGACTGGGAAGTAAGTGGTTGTCAATTTTTTAGTACAGTTAGTTCATCTTGTATATTGTACACCCTTTGGTATCATAATAATTTCCTCATTTAGGTAGTGTAGAACCATGGCTTGAACATGTGTTCAATCTTAATGGTCTTTTGTTTTATTTCAGGCATTCTGGTGCTGTATTACCTCTTCTTTGTACAACTGGTAAGTTGTTTTTGTACCCTCTTGATATAAACAGCATTAAGATATGATTAAACGGCATTAAGATATATAATTTGAAACAGACAGCCTTCCAATACCAAGCCCTGGAGCCAAAGGACCAACAACCCACTGCCAGAAATAGGCTATGGGACTACCTTTACCTTTATTAGGTTTATCTTGATTAGAAACATTTCCTTTATTTTTACAGAACATGTTTGACACCCTGAAGTACCTGGCCATCCTGGGCACCCTGACCTTCCTGGCTGGCAACAGGCTACTGGGGTCCATCGCTAACAAAAGGTCAGTAGGGTAGGGGTCAAGCTAAAGGTCATCAGCTCATGAACAAGTCTACATGTTATGTGATTGCTGTTTTTTCTTCGTATTCCACGCCCATTTACTACACAACATGTAGCTCAATCTCTGCATTCTTGTTTACTGCTTTACTGTTTATTGTAATAGCACAAAAAAGTGTATTACTATTACACACTACTCTATTGCTATTCCATTGCTTTTCATACTGTACAGTAAGACCTACTGCGCCTGCCCAAAACTCAGATTTTTCACAGTTTTTGTTAAATGTTTGGTCTACTCTGCAACAGAATTTTGCTGACACAACATTTGAAAACTAGAGATGGGATGTCATTTTAAATACAGAATACGACTTTTTAAAAAAGAGACATTCTGACATGCTTTGTATGCATCTTCACCCTTTGCCTTCCTAACTACAATCTCTCCTCTTCTGTTCACTATCCTTGTCTGACTTTTCAGGAAGCAACTACTGCGCTCTCGCCTGAGATAGAACATTTACATTCCTCTCTACCCCCCAGGGGTAAGATGGTACAGTCCGTTCTTGTCTCGTGCCCCCCTCCCCCTTTTTTGTACGTTTGTGTGGTTGTTTTTTTATCCTGTCTAACTACCTTATTTCTTACCCCAGCATGTGGATGGATAACAGTAGTGCAATGTACGTAATGTACATAATATAATTGTAGGTACTAGTTCATTGAATGGACCTATCACATTATTACGTCACAGTTTGTTTACCGCCATGAATGCCGGTCAATCGATGTACAGGGGTACGTAGCGCGGTGTGTGTTTGTGTAGCGTTAGACTTAATATAAGGCCTTTATACAGTACTACTTTCGTCTAATGTCACAACTAAATCACCCATGCGGCATGTAATGCTGTGTCAACAAAACTAGACGCAGCAAAAATCAAACATACCTGACTTTGAAAACTTGAAATGATCTTTATTCTTTAACTGACCGTTCTAGAATGTTCTTTAGAACAGGTAAACAAAATGTGACGTAATAATGTGATAGGTCCATTCAATGAGTTAGTTTGTTTGTTGTGCATCGAGTATATTTCATGCCAAACCCTAATTTGTAACATTGTTATGGAGTGCTGCATGTTTTGAACAGTAAAAAGTACATCAATGAAGAATTTCATCAGGTTGGCAACAGATTACTTAGTGAATTTTCACGTCCAACATTTCCGTGACCATTTTTGAATAAAGAACCTTCAGTAGAAATTATGGTGAGAGTAACTTTTTGGTGATGCATTTCTTAAGTATTGTCCACTAACCTCCATAAAATAATTTTTTTCTTTACTCCAGGAAAAAATGAAGAGCCAAGACGCCACTACACAAGTTGCTGCAGTTCACATGGCTGGAACAGAGTCTTTTCCCTTCATGTACCACTTAGTTGTTCATAGTTACACCTACAAACATAGAAATCTAAACACACTTGCATTATGAAAAGACTGTCTGGGTAGCAAAAATTAGGAAAAAGCAGTGATATGTAAAAAATTAACGTAAAATTGTATCTTTGTGATTTTGAGAAGTGCAAAAGAACACCACAAAGACCCAATTGTGTAGAAATGATAAGTAGTTCTTTTAAGAGAGTTGTACTGATTTTCTTACTGTAGTTGTTACATAAAGTAGTTCACAAAATGGACTCAAATGAGTATTTAAAATTAGTGTTTGTGCTTTTGGCAATATTCCATTTGCATAATCTAAGGTCTGATAGTGCAACTTGATCAAGTGTTGTATGTGATTTTTACATTAATATCTATGCAAAGAAATTATGCATATGGTTATGTAGGTGTGTAGAAATGTTGTCTGAAGGTCCTTGGAAGAAATATCAAGATTTCTTATTCTGAAATATGCTGTACTTTACAAGGTCATACATGTGTAAGGGGGAGGGGGGCATACATTAGTTGCAGAAGTGATGCATGATGGGAAATGGACTTTGTCTCTGGCCACTACAATAATGTACCATAATTTTGGCAGCTTGAGAAAAAATAGAAGCTTTGTTGACTTTTGGTTGCAAGCAAAGCTGAATGTCAAAGAAAATTATGAAAAGTAGTACTGCATGGATGATTCTTTTTACTGCACTTCGATGTTTTTGTACCCAGAGTATGTCAAAAACACCAGAAATAAAGGTATGGATCTTGGCCAGACAAGTTTTGTTACATTTTCTTACAGGTGTTGACTGTTCAAAGACAAGAGGATAGAGCTAGTGTTCTAGAAGCTTCTTGTTTTCATTAAATGGTTACGTTTTGTGTGTGTGTGTGCATGTCGGTGTCAACAGCATATTAAGAAGTTGCGGATGGATTTTATATGTAGATAGTCCTTAACCTGAACCGCCATTGCCTGAAGTGCAGATAGCTACAGGTAGCTTCAAAGAAGCCACATGACAAGCTTCACTGGGTCAGTCTACTGAGGAAGACCAGAGTGACTGGTCGAAAGCTCTAGGTGAGAGAAGTTTTTGTGTTGGACCAAAAGTTTTAACTTTAAACATGTAACTACCAACACAGATGAACTTTCATGACAGATAGCTACATGTATGTGCCTCAAGCTTAGGACTCAGAAGCGACCTGAGGTCACACCCCTTGTGAATGAGGGCACTCAACAGTCATCTTTGTCAGCGAAGGACTACCAAGAAGAAGGTATGTGGTTAGGTGTCAGCAAAACAAATCACAAGTTTGATTATGGGCCATCTAGTGACTTCCTATGATACTGCAGTTGTTTTGAAACATTTCTATATTGTATGAATCCAAAGAGACGTTATTGCCGATGTGCATGTACAATTTCTTATAAAATGAGACGTAGCAAATCCTTTTTTGATTATGACACGACGCCAGTTACATGCACTGGTGTGTTCAAAGTTTGGATCCAACACAAAGAATTGTTCTCACCTAGAGTTTTCGAACAGTTACTCTGGTCTTCCTCAGTAGACTGACCTTAGTCTTCTCTACATTGCCTCTTTTCATCAGGGCCCTTCACTCAACCATGACGGGGGCGGACATTGTCTACCAGACTCTGATTCAGTGTTGATGTCACACTTCAGAGAAGCCACATGACAAGTCTCATTGGGTCAGTACTGAGGAAGACCAGAGTGACTGGTTGAAAGCTCTAGGTGAGAACGGTTCTTTGTGTTGGATCCAAAGTTTAAGCTTCAGACATGTAAGTACCAACACAGATGAATGTTCATGATAGAATGTTACATGTAGCATAGTGGCAGTTTTCCACTAGCCTAGAGCTGCCAGACTTTGATCCAGTCTATCTGCATGGCAGCGTCCTCCCCATCCCAGGTAGGGTACCACAGGTCCTTAGCGTCCCAGAACTTCTTCATGGCCAGACCGTACCAGTCTCCGGCCGCCCACGGGCGCTCGTATCCTCCGTTAACCGCATCGTTCGGGAAGTATCCGTTAGTCCCGCCAACCGCAACGTTCAGGATCAGGAAAAACTGGGAGGGGAGAGAAAAATGCAATACAATTGTTTCCATGTGCGTGCATAGTCCAGTGGTTAGACTTAGAGACCCTAGTCTGCTTACCAAACCTCTTTTAGTTCCAGAGTTCTACATCCTCTCCGCAAATAGTTGCAGAGGATGTAGGACTCGGGAGCTAAAAGAGATTTGGTACCCAGGCTTTAATAACTCTATATGTACCTCTGGACTAAGGGGTTGGGGGTTCAATCACAGCTAATGTCACTACTGGAAAGCATCACAGTTTGTAAGATGGCGTGTTAATGCTGTCCACTGTTCATTTTTCTTTTCAAAAAGAGGAGAATTTGCTTTGTACAATGAACCAGTAAGTACTGTACCAGCATTGTGAGACTGCTTCTTCAGTGAACTAAAACTTGATGGAATTCACTTTCTGTTTTTGGCGGCAGGTGCAAATTTTGCAGGACAAAAGTGACTGCGAACACTGCGAGAAAAAATTATGATTTACATTGTTAGAATTTTGGGAAAGATGGAAAATCTTACATCCTTGTCAAATGGTGTCATCTTGCCTCCTCCCACCCAAGGGTTCTCCGTATCAGGCAGCCCGAAGTCACCCAGCTCCCAGAATCCATTGGGTGGAGAGACGTTCAGAACAAGTTCATCATCCACAAAACACCTGGAAAACAAGAATTCAGGGGTCTCAGACCTCCATGAAATATTTAGCACAGACACAAACATACCCAAGACAATAACTACATTTTCATGTAGGTAATGTAGCCTGAAGCTTACTTGATGTGATTCTGGGTCCATTCCAGTCCATACTTGTGGAAGGCACTACCAAAGGTTCCTTCCTTGGCAGCACTGAAAATACAAGAACAAATTTGCATGTAGGAGTTTCAGTTTGTTCTGTTTCAGTGAAGGCATGTCTGAAATTCTTTGGTTACTTATGCTAAGACCCTGAATATACTACTGCGTAGTACAAAATAAGCATACTACATATTATCATATACATGTAATATTACATGTATGCCCCTTCACCATATAGATCTTATGTATGGATTGAAATATTGCTTTTATATTTCTGAATAGCACTGTATGGGGGTTTCAAGAACATTTTACTAGAAAAGCACTGTATGGGGGTTTCGAAAATATTTTACTAAAAAGCACTGTATAGGTATTGGTGACTACATGGGGGTATTGAAACACTTGATGTTGAAAAGCACTATATGGAAAAGGTTGATATGGAACAGTTCATTTTGGAACAAGTAGGGAGATGGACTAAAATACTGTATTTGCTCCCGAGCAAATGTCTACCTTTCCAGTTATAGAGCTCTGATAATACTGTACTCACAACCCCGCTGTAGTCTTGTCAAAGGCGTTGTAGGGCCAGTATGGTCCCCAGTGTAGGGTAGAGCCCATGTGGTCAACCCCAATGGAGTTCCCACTGGCGTCCGTTAGGTTACGGTTTCCTATAGGCAAAACGGAAACAAAAGTATGTAGTGAAAAGTAAACTGTTCTCCAAGTCAAAGAAATTTGATTCACCGGAATTTACCAAATCTCTCTTTGTTCATCAGCTATCTGACCCAAGTACGGTGACTTTTCTGCCTGACCTATGACGTCAGCACTGGGTCAAAGTTCGTCAGAAGTCGGTACCGCCCCCCGTCCCGGTTGAGAGAAGGTTAGTATGCCCTGATGTAGATAGTTCAGTGTCCAGAATGTTTACCATTTCACTATATAATTTACCAATTCAGATGAACTTTCATGCTAATATTCAATAATTGGAAAGCAACCGTCCTTGTTGTATCCAGAGCAAAGCTCAGGCATGGTTCTGGATTGTCCACGCGCATCCAGAACCATGTCTGAGGCAAATATCTACTTTCTTCGATACATGGGAACTATCCAGAACCGTGGCTGATCCTAAAACTATCCCATGCTTGATTTAGACATAGAAATAGAAAGGCACAGTTGTGGATACTGAAAAATAACCCATCGGATGGCCATGTTCAGCACCAAGGACAGAACTCACATGTATCCAGAACCGTGCCTGACTCTAAAGCTAGCCCATATTTAGACATTGAAAAACTAACCCATTTAGACATACATAGAACCAGATAGGCACGGTTCTGGCTATAATAACCAATCGGATGGCCATGTTCAGCACCAAGGACAGGACCCACATGAATCCTGAACCGTGCCTGACTCTAAAACTAACCCATTTAGACATGGAGCAAGATAGGCACGGTTTTGGATTCAATCACCCATTGGATGGCCATGTTCAGCACCAAGGACAGGACCCACATGTATCCTGAACCCTACCTGACTCTAAAATTAACCAATTTAGACATAGAACTACATAGACACAGTTCTAGCTACAGTAACCCATCGGATGGCCATGTTCAGCACCAAGGACAGGGCCCACATGTATCCTGAACCCTGCCTGACTCTAAAACTAACCCATTTAGACATGGAGCTAGATAGGCACGGTTTTGGATTCAATAACCCATCGGATGGCCATGTTCAGCACCAAGGACAGGGCCCACATGTATCGTGAACCCAGCCTGGCTCTAAAACTAACCCATTTAGACATGGAGCTAGATAGGCACGGTTCTAGCTACAGTAACCCATCGGATGGCCATGTTCAGCACCAAGGACAGGACCCACATGTATCCAGAACCCTGCCTGACTCTAAAACTAACCCATCTGGACATAATAAATAGGTACGGTTCTGTCTACTGTACAATAACCCATCGGATGGCCATGTTCAGCACCAAGGACAGGGCCCAAATAGTTTATGTTTTGTAGCTATAAACTCACCTCTAGATTCCATGATATCAATCTCTCCCGAGGAAGGCCAACCTCCAAACTCGTTGTGCATTGGAAGGAGCCAAATGGCTGAAAAATAATAAGAATACCACCCCTTGTTATATATCAATTTAGCCCATTCAATGTCTGGAACTTACTAGTATGTTGTGATCATCTCCACTCAATCGGTCTACAGGTCAAAAGCGCCTCTAGCGATATGTATGACAAGTACAAGGCCACGCCTACCTGGCCAGATCCAGTCTCCAGTCGGCATTTTGGCCATGACCTCCACCCTGCCATACGTGAAGCTGAGACTCTTGGTGGTGGTGAGACGAGCGGACCGTATAGGCGGTATGGGGTAGTCCGCGGTGCCTTGTCTCCAGCAGCCGCCGTTAAAGTTACTGGTGCATTGGTCAGCGGGGGTCAGGCCTGGGAGGGTAGGGCAGATATGGGCCAACTTTAAACACAGATTGTCGCGACAGCGGTACTGGCGACAGCGGGAATAGCTATGGGAACGCCGTGTAAGGTCGGGCAGAGTTAGGCCCATTTCAGACACAAATTTTCGGGAACGCCGTGCAAAGAGAATTTCCGACGAGTCCCGCTGTCGTCAAATTTTCGTAGATAGATAGAGTGAGGTGTGATCATGCATAGAGCCGCTAGGAGGCGTCAGATGCTTACCGTACAAGTTCAGGGTTCCCGTAGACAGAAAGGCTTCATCGTAGAAATCCGCCGTCAGCGTCTGTGATGTAGTAAAATGCATTTTATTTAGTACATAAATCTTAATACAGACCTCTTTCGGTAAGTGATATTTTATTAGTCAACCAGGGCCAGGTAAACTGATGAAAAAGAGCACGTATAGCCCCAAAAGGTAGAATAACATTGATTTTATACGTATGAAGTCCAGTGAATTGACATGAATGCAACCAAACGCACCTACCGGTTTAATGTACAGAATTCCGTCACGAACGTACGAGTTGCTGCGGTCGTTGACGTAAATTTGGAACTCGTTGTTCTAATGTTGAAATAATCGTAAGCAAGTGTAAACAAAAAAGTAACTTCAACACAGTTCACAAAGTATCCCACTATTCAATCAATCTATATATCTTTAACATCATTAATAACAAGAAGAGAGCAACCAAATAAATTTTGTACGTCTGCCTCAAAATTACTAGCAATTGTCAGAAAAAATATGAAAATAACGAATGAAAAGAAAAAGTAAAACACGCACCCCTCCCCCTGCTGCAGTGATTTCGTGTTTCCATTTGGTGAAGTCCAGAGTGTCGAAGTTGTCCTCGAATATCAGCTGGTCTGAGGAAACATAGACCATAGTATTTCTTCTTGGTTTCTTTTCCTTAGATCGTGACTTACAAGAAAATACGCATCTGGAATCCAAAGTTATCTTGGAAATGTAGCAACAGTTAAATACACACGGCAGTATTTTTGACAGAAAGACAAAAACAAAGCAAACTGTCAAAGAGAAACGCCTCTCACACAATCTCTCTTCGTCCCAAACTTTTTCGAATAGTCCATCTCAGAACAAGACCTATTTTGTATACAGTACCCTGAGTTGAATGACCCAGCGGTCATATACTGTACCTGCTTGTTTAATAGCCTCGCGCGCAGACTTTCCAAGTGTTACGTTTGTTTCTACGAAGGCGGCAGTTTCTTCCATTGAGGGAAGGTATGCATCCGCTCACTTAGAAGAGAAACCGCCGCGCTCGTAGAATCGAAGTTACGAACTCTGCCCACTAAAAAGTCTGCGAACAAGGCTACATGTCAATTACTACTACTTTGCACACGTGGAGTCACAACCACAGCTCGCCTTACGTTCCCTAATATTGCAAGCAAACAGACTGTCACACATGTCAAAAACGGTAGCTAACCGACCGCAAATACTACAGTGATCACGGACAGCCTTGAGTCCCCTGACACACGTTAACGCTACGAACGTGATGATATATAGGGTCTTGGGCACTTTATAGTGTAAAACTGTCGGGTTGTATGTCAACTCAAGTTGATTTTGCAGGTCAGCAAACTATGACACACAACATAGTGTAAGGGGCGTATTCGCTTGCACAGCCCAAATGTACGCATACACAATGTATCATAGCCCTGTGAAAAAAAAGAGCCGTGTATTGATCATTAATTACAAGTTATAGCTGTGTATACTTTCCCTCCAGCATTTCGCTAATCGATTTACAACAAGGAGGGTCAACATGCTGAATTCCTCACGGTCTGTATACCTACAACGTAAGCATAATAAAAGTGATCAGAAATCGTGTACCATATATGTTCCAATTCAATGTTAGAGTGAAGTTTGCTCACTAAAACAGTGAAGGAAGTAATAAGAATTGAAAAAAAAACTTTCCGAAATTCCTTCAGCGAATATTTGATTTTCAACCCAGAGGGAATTTTACCTAAATGACCTACCTGCAAAATACATCCTGTAAATCACAAAGTAGCCAACACAAGCCAACCCCGCCAAGACAGCCAGCACGACAACCAACCCCGTCACGACTTTACACGACTTTCCGCAACATCCTCCCTTCTTCTCTCCTCCTTCGATCTCGAAGACTTGTCTCTGACTACTTGAGGACTCCATAGTACTATGATCGAAGTGGTACTTTTTGCCGGACCCAGGCATTGTTGTAGACAAAGGCGTATAGACGGACCAAACGTAAGCGTTATTTTAGCAGGCGTGGCTCTTCTTAAGTCAAAACTGTACCGCTACTTGAGTAAACCTCATAAATTTAAGTCTACTGTAAATTTAGAAAGCTTTTCTGTGACATTTTTCTCACAAGATAGTCATATATGCAACTTATTTCTATTTTTATAATTCATAAACATACAAAATACCATTTGGAATATCTGTTATGGTGAAAATATGTTCTTACTTACGGTAGAAAGTAAAATGAAATTATTAACCGTATTGAAAAATTCAGATAAGTTACGGTGTGTATAAATATTTGAATAGTAGGTACCCACTGCATGCGTAAGAGGTAAGACTTTGCAGAGTCATTCTCTATTGTCTTTAAGAAGTCATATTTGATTTACTTCTCAGAGTCTCAGAGCCACACCTATTTCTGTTGGTTTATATATTGACTAAGTTGTTAAATGTTACACCCTTTACTTACACTTATGTAAATGTTTAACTATGATACATGACGTCATAAATATGGTCAAAGGTCAAGGGAATGTTCGAGTACAAACATAGGGGTGACAAAAATCAATTATTTTGTACTTCCGTTCAATACTTTAAGCAACTGTTTTTCTTATGAATTATCTTTCCTGCCATATCGTTCCAAATCCCTTGTTGCCTATGACTGGCAACGACGACATTGTTTTATATTCATAAGTTTATTCAGCGCAGCGCGTCCTTGCGATTTTCTTCTGAAATACAAGTTATTCACTTATTTTGCTCCCGGGTACCAAAAGAGAACGTGTTATTACTAAGAAAATTGCCGTTCAAAATAAGAAGAACACGAAACAAACAGAAAGATATAGTCAGAAATGTTGTTGATAAAACTTTCAAGCATCAATGCAGAGGTCATCTTTAATAGCCTGTTTCTTAGAATCCCCAAGACAGGTTGCTAAGACCGGATGTTCCAAGAAACACACGGAGAAACAGTGTGTTTCTTAGAAAGTTCTGACGATAGCTTAAGACTTTGCCACCGAAATATTTCATAAGAAACATACTGAGACCATGTAGTATTCAAGGGATCTGCCGTGTGCGCCAACACTATCTGTTATATAAGCAACTTGCATAAACAGTTTGGGGAACAAGGCACCTGTTTAAATGGTGATTGTGATAATAACGATGGTTAAGATACAAACTGAAGGTTCGTATTTGCCTATGTTCTACAGGACGGTTTAATCAATTGACCAGAAGCCAAAATTTCACATTTTGGTACCATCTGAGGTGGCAAATTCTCATATGGTTTTTGAATAGTAAGGTGTCATTTCTTTGGTAAAAATTGGTAAAAAAAATGTAATTTTTACTTTTCAAAACCTGTCATGTATCCAGATTATATACTTAAGCCTGCTTCATGCATATATCTGATTTGGTGTTATTTCTAGAATTCAGTGACAAAAGATCACAAAGCTAGTCGGTGGTCCCTTGTACCCCCAGAGCTCCGTACGTTCTTTGAAGACCTAAGGAAGTCGTTAAATTGACTGTGAAGAGGGGGGTCCCGACAACGCTCTACGCTGAATTCGGAAACTTCTCGATTACGCTTTACGATAAATTCCAAGTGGCTACAACGCATTTCGTAGAATTAAAACGCCGAATACGCTCTACGCAAAAATATTAGAGCGGTCCGTCTACGCTCTACGTAAAATTAAAACCGCCGATTACGCTCTACAGAAAAGGGCTTGCTATGGCGCAGGTAGCGGTCTTTGCAAACACAGCCAATCATATCGCCGTACAATGTAATCTTTGCAAATAGTCCCATGATGCTTCAGCTCTCCCGTTAGCAGCTAGTACATAAAAGCCGTGCTGAACGACTTGGTGTCATTCCCGCCAAAACTTCGTGACTTAAAGGAACGCGTCTGGCACTAGGACGTAAGTACGATATTTGCTGTCTCTTAAGCATTAAAAGTGTGTCAGATTTAAGATTATAAATATGTAGGTAAAATAGCTATAAAATAGAGTTTAGCGTACAGCGTTGCCAGTATTTAAGGCCCTTCTATATAGCCTGGTATAGTCTATCGTGGTTGGAACAAGCTGTCTTCGGGCCCGGGGCTCTAATAGTTTCCCCCCGTCCAGCTCAACAGACCGCCCGTTAGGAGTTTGGCTGCCCATGCTAATCTCCAAGCAGATCCCTCTCGGTGGCAAAAAGACAGTATCAAATTGGCCAGGCAGTATCCATTAGTCAGAGAAGCTCCGCGGCCAACGACGGGGGTCAGGACAAAAAAAAAACGGCCATATATAAAAAGGTAACGATCATTCCCCCACAACCTCTGCTTGGAGAGTATGCCCATGCATCTTAAGACATATGGGAATGATTCCAAGACTTGGCTGGACTTCTTAGGGCATCTACCGTTGACCTCTCTTCCTGCCATATGGATTAATTTACACTTCCTGCAAGCTTCTTGAGAAAACTCGAGAAGTTAAGCAATGTCTGAAGGTCTACTTGGTCACAGAAGAGATCGTTCTCGCAAAATTTCAGATTATTCCAGACTTTTCAAATTAGTGTGCCTTTAAGTTCCTGACATTAGATTATCGATAGCGCATTTATGGCGTTTTGAGGATTTTTTGTCACGACTTATTCTGTTTTTTTTTATTAGAGACGATGTTGTTGCTGGTATTTTTGCTGGTCCATGGCGCTTGCGCCTACACGGTGAAACAGCCCACCATCTCGCTGCTGTCACCCCGGGGACTGAGAATCACCTACCCAGCTGGTCAGATCTCGTTCCCATGCTGTCACATTTTGACCGCCATCTTGAATATCATATAGTAGTATTCATTTTGCAATTGAACTTGTATGCCCTATAGAAGCAGGGTGACATTTTCTATAGGAAATAATCTGTAACTTTGCCATGCTTTTTCATGGGTGTCACATAGAGGTGGCTTTAATCGTAAGCATATCTAATCATCTAATCTGCCTACAGTACCATAACAAGCTGCCAGGGGGGGGGCTAAAATCTATTCATTTTGAGTTCTCATCAAGACCTACCCACCTACAAAATATCAAGACAGTCCATCTAAGCCTTCTTGAGTTATTTTGGTGACAGACAGACAGACACACACACACACACACACACACACAGAAACTGAAAACATAACCTTCTTGGCGAAGGTAATAACAAGGATACATGTGACATGATTCAGAGTGATTGCTACGTTTAAATTATTAGATTGTATGTAACATATGTGTGTGTTTGATGACAGATTCTGGAGTGACTCTGGTGGCGTTCCACTACAATATTGACACCCCGCTACCGGGCGTGCAGGCCGGCCAATGGAACTACGATATCAGGCAAACAACAAGTAAGGGCATACTAGTAACATCTGTATCTGTATCTGTACCGGTACCAGTTTATCCAGTATATGAATGGTTAGATACTTAGAGTCTTTATATCCAACATAGTCATTTTGAACATGATGCTTAACTAGACATGGACACTGTACATTATGTACAATAGATTACGGTTTTGAGTATAAAGTCTTTCCCTTGTGTTTTATTTTGTGTTAAACAGACGGCCAGTTTGTCCACGAGAATACGCGTGATTTAATATCCGCCGGACAGACCCTCTACTACTGGGTTCACGTTGTTCGTGGTGGCCTTGGTCACAACCTTCTGGGGCAGTCGTGGGTGGCCACTGGGGGAAACAACAACGTCGGTAAGGAGAAAAACATTCTTGTAATACAATTATATCTAAAGAATGAAGAGGGTCACCAGAGGCCTACACAGGCCATCTCTTCGGCACTTGGAAAAAGAGGCCTCCGAGGCTTCCTGAGTTATCATGCTGACAGACAAACTGACAAACACAAAATGTCCACTGCAGTGAAGTAGGAATGCGCCATTAGGCCCAATTTCGAACTTGACCTTCCTTATTATTATCCCTACGAATCTACTAAATTTCACTACGATCCGTCCACAGACTCTTGAGTTATCCTGTTAACAAACACGCACACAAAAGGTCCACTGCAGTGACCTAAGGACCCCCCCCCCACAAAGCCCATTTTCGAACTTGACCATCAGCTCTCCAAAGGTAGCCTGCCTGCCAAAAATTGCGAACATCCATCTATGGCTTCAAGAGCTTTGCCACATAAATCCACAGTCACCCCCACCTTACCCAAAATGACCGCTTAGCCTTCTGTCAAAGGCAATTAAATATCTACATGAACTTATGAGTATAACCCTTCCTTTTTAGACACAACGACAAACCCGCCAACAACGAGGACCACCACCACTGGGACCAACACTGGGACAGACACTGGTACTGGCACTGTCGAAGGTTTTAGCGGTAAGAATTTTATTCCCTTTTACTGTACAAAAAAACAGAAGCTTCGTGTGAAAAGGCAGCATACTAGTATGAAACCCCCTTTTTGTTCCCAAATGGTATATGTAGTAAAATGTAAACAGAGTTTGTATGTTTAAGCCTGGATGTACGGATATCAAAGGTTAATCGTTATGTTAGTATATAGGAAGGATCCGGTGTGTTATCACGTACCGGAGACAGGAACATAAGCTACAGGATACAATCAATTATCAACAGTCAACATGTATGTAGCAGTTTACCTTTATTTTTGGCAACGCCACATTGGTGGAGCTAATAGTATCCCAGCATTGTTAGCATGTTTCAAGTATAGCATGAGGAAATCCACAAATTATGTTACATGTAGTTAGTATTGCTGGTTAATGATTGGTTTAGATGATTCATGTCCTTGGTGCTGATTGGCTAGCGCTAACTCTGACCTTGGTTCTGATTGGATACCATTACATCTAACCTGGGTGCTGATTTGGTGCCATCAAATCTGACCTTGTTGCTGATTGGATAACATTAAAAATCTATCCTTTTTGCTGATTGACTATTACTAAATCAGACAGAGTTATGCATGTCTGTGTCTGCAAATCTCGTAAAAATTCGTAAAAAAATCTGTGTTTAATTTGTTTTCCAGGCATTGGGACTTACCTTGGTTGTTTCATTGACGATGGTGATGACCGAGATTTCCCCTACTCCACCACGCTGACTTACACCAACGGTTACACCACCTGTAGTCAGCACTGTGCATCACTGGGGTACAGATACATCGGGCTGCAGTACGCTATTGAGGTAATTTTTTTTGGCAACGCCCCAGGGGCAGGCTAAATATATCATTTGTAGTAAGTTTGCAGGGACTCCAAGCTACGGTATTTTACTAATATTTTACAACAGTTTTTATTGCATCCGTTGTTTCTATTGCTTGTGTATCGTGGGTTAGTTGATTGATTGGGTGATTGGTTGGTTGGTTGGTTTGTAATTTGGTTGATGATAACTAAATAAAAGTATGCCAAAAAACAGTTACTCAAGCAACTGGATATGATTTTGAAAACGTCAGACGTTTCAGCTAGTATCCACTAGCTTTCGTCAGTGACTGAGAGACCAGAGGGGAAAGCAGGTTTATATACACAACCTGTTGATTGAATGCAAATAAGGTGAAGACAAATTTTTGGAAGTCGAAAAAGGAACAAAAGTCAGACAAGTCAAGACAAGATGATGCAAATTAGTCTGAAAGCTCCTGTTATACAGGACAGGAGCTTAAGTGTTGTCTGTCCTCGGGGCTGGGAGTGCCAAATCCCAAGTGCCGGAAAGATCGACCCGTAGCCCCCCTTCCCTGTTGAGGGTGGGGTTGTACATTCTTTCATATATTGCCTCTTTAAC